GCTAACAGTCTTATCGTGAGCATTAGCAGGAGGGGCAGATGGATGCCTCCTACTAATGGGCTCTAATACTTTATACCCTCAAGACTAATGGACAGCTTTTACAAGACTTCATTTCCCCACCACCGCCGACACACACTGAAATAAACTTTGGATTATATCCGAGTTACAGCGCATCAGGTTGAGGCCGTGCGGCTGGAAAGCAGCGGACTCTCCCCAGAATTGTAATCACGTCGTGATTCACAGTGTCATTGCCTTTTCCTGCCTGCCAGTTTCAGAAGAAACTTGCTTTTGTGGGACCAAACCAGCTCTGCAGCAATATTAATTTGCAAATGACATTTTAGTGGATGCAGTCAGTAGTGACTACAAAAATAGCAGTTTATTTATTCCCCATGTGCTTTGCTGACAAACAAGTTCCTAAGTCCCATGGAGAAGACACAGCTACCAGAGCAAGAACAATTCTACTCTAACACAGATAAATTGTCAACTGAACTCCAGCTGCAGATTTCTACAGAAATCCCAGCAGGATTTCTACATTCCAGATGGCATCTGGATGCACTGCAGATACACAGAACCTTTCCTTTAGCACACTAACTATATTTCTTTAAGCTATCTCACTGAATAAAGAGAAATGACAATGTTCATTTTTAAGGCACATTTTAGAGCCAGCAAAACAGGTGAATATGACTTTTAAAAACCACTGCGGTTCATAATATTTATGTTCACTATGTTTAGCTTTGTTCACTATTTTAAACAGAGTATTGCAGGAAGTTCAGACAATGTTTTTCCTTGTCTAGTCCAGCAGTTTTCTACCCATGACACTCTTACAGAAACAAATACTGCACAATGGTGTTTTAGCCCAGACAAGATGCAAGCACAGGGTGAAACATGGCCTGTGCTGCAAGACAGGAGCAAATAGTATATGGTAGCATTCCAGTACTGAGCTCTAAGCAGCACTTTTTTTAAAGGGATAAACTGAGCAATGAGTAACTTGAAAGCTCTCCCCCCAAAACTAGGAGAGTTGTGATCTCTAGAAGAGGCGTGACCAACCCGTGGCCCTTGAACTCATTCCAGAGATTCCTACGCCATGACCATCTCTCACGTGGAGCAGAGCTACCCGTGACACTCCTCGCCAGTATCGCTGCTCCGGAGGAAGTTCGTCAGCAGGGTTTTGGCTGAGGCCAAAATCCTCACGCCCCGCCAGGCCAGCCGCATTTCCCAGTAAGCTCTTGGAAACCCCCGGAAAAGCCGATTTGTGCCTGCAAACCACTCCAGGCACCTTTGAGATCTGAAGCCCAGGTCTTGTTGCCGCCCTGGTCTGTGCCGCAGCAGCGCGGCACTTCCAGCCTCCTTCTTCCCACCCAGCAAAGAGCCGCCGACCCCAGCAGCCCCAGCCGAGGGGCACAACGTCCCGCAGAGCACCCAGCTTCTGGGAGGCATTCTAGCTTCACACTCGTAAAAGGCTGTGCCAAAATTATGTTATTCCCTAGTCTAAAAAACAGAGGGTGATGAACGCAGCTTTACACAACAAAAAAATCCTTCATTAAAAATAATTATGCTGGATAATGCTGTGCAGGATTAAGCGTCACTGGGCATTGCCAAGTTCCTACGCTCTCGCGTATTCTGAGCGCCTTACCAAACATTTTACTGCAATTCGTCAAACCACAAATAAGGGAACAAATAATTCACTGCATTATAGGCCAGTGCTACATGGCAAAATACAGGGAAGCGTTCTGGCTCTGCTCTAATTGAAGAAAGATCAGATGTTTGGCACCTTCGAGTCACTTCTACTCACAAGGCGACACCTCAAATTTGTTTCAGTGCAACGCCTGAAAATACTTCAAAAACACCCTGAAATACTTTCAAAACCATGCAATATTCATATTTAAAGTTATGCTAACCAGTGAGCAAACTAAAACCAAATCTCAATACTCAGCTTCGATTAGGGCCACAAAACATTAACATCCCTGCTTACACCAAGCCAACACCTAGTTTGAATACAAGTGACTGCACTTGCACTTCGTATTTAGTTTAAAAGCTTCATCAGTGCAAGGAGCCCTTACGATCACACAGAGTTACTGGTTCGGAAGGAAATTCACAGAGGAGAGTGCGGGCTTCTAAATTACGATAACCTCCTCTGAAACAGCAAATGTGATAAAAAAATATTTAATATTCTCATAAAGCTAAACATTCATAATTGTGCTTTTGCACAGTTACCTGATGTCTCCCGTAAGTTCTTTCAAAGAAAAACAATTTGGCATTATCTTGCAAATATCTTTATTACAATTTACAGATTAGTTCTGAATAGTTTTATTATGTACAGAAATATAACTTTAGATATAAAAACCCAACAAACTCGACACAAATCAATTAAAATCTGTATAAAGCCAATGTTGAAGGTTTTCTAACTTTCTCTAAATTATACAAAAATAAAATCTGATAATTACAGTTTTGATTTAAAGTTCAACAAGTGTTATTTTTACTGTCTCACTCAAAGCACTTACACATGTACACATCCTGTATGACCATTTTAAGATATGTTATAGGGACAATGGTGACAACCAAGCTTAGCTTGCTTTTAAGATGATGCTTATGGTGATGAATTTAGTGTTAATTTCCTACCACCTTACATTGCATACTTTGAAAACACGAGGTTTGAGAGGGGGAAAAGCTTACCCAAGCAGGTATGTTTCAGTGAGCATCAGTAGTGTTAGAACAGAGTGCTTGATGCACTGCAGGTTGGAAGAAAACAATTTCTCAAATGCTAGAAGCACTTTGGAAGTGGCAGGTTTTGATCTAGTTTACATCCAGTTTGTCAATTCTGTTCGTTTCCAACTGTAGCCTTTTCCAAGCCTCTGCAAACAGTGCATCAGTATTTGCAGTATTCACACCACTCTAAAGCTTCTTACAAGCACCAGTAAACCAAGTGAGTTGTCCAGAGTAACTGAAGCACCAACAAGTTCTCCAAGAATCGAAGAAACTAGGAGAGTCATGGAAAAATGACTATAGTATATTTTACCAAGAGCAATGAACAGCATTTTTACTTATCAGTCACACTTGGACCATAAGTCAACAAGTTTTCTACTGTAATTCTACATTTATCATCCTGCATGCTTTTTCCTAAACTAAAAAGCGGAACACTTGTTATCAAATACGATACAGGGAAATGAACTCCTAAAAATTAAAAGTTATTTCACAGGATTTGAAAGCATGATTAGAATTACGATTTCACAACTAAAATTATCTTTTGTAGGAAAGGAGAATCCAATTTTTTTTTATGCCGTGGGGATGAAAAATAACATTGCTGCATTGCTTCCAAGTAGCCAGTCTGTAAGGCTGCTTGAGCTTTGGCTGTATTTTAAGTTTACGTAACAACTCTACTGTAGTTCACAGTTAACCCTCTGAATTTCATAATTGTAACACTTCTAACATGTAGCAGAGAAAGGGAATATTTAAATTCAAAGAACATACTTCATGCAATAAGAATAAAGTATAAACCCAAAACCTCTGAAATTTTTGAGATTGAATTAAAAGTAATGGCCAAAAAGATGGCCCGATAAAGCAGAAAATTCAGTAAAGCTCTGTGAAGCTCTTCTGTATCTCTAATTTTCTTTTGAATTAAAAATTGAAGTGATTAATGAGATGACAAATCTGAAGTGTTTTTAGGATTCTCCCTTAAAAAAGGGAAAGGGAAACAATTCTAGTCAGCTGAATGAAACAAGTAGCAAATAATTTATTCACGCAACTTCGTGCAAACAGGTATGAATTCTTCGATGTTTGGTATTTATTCCATTGCATGACCTCGTACCTGCTTGGTTAACAGCCACACAACATCCTTCAGCTCCAAACACATATCCAAGTGGTGCTGCTTTTTTATTTTTGACTGAAACAACAACTGAACATTTTAAGTTAGGAACATAAATAAGGAGTGTTTTCCTTCCACTGAGGACCTCAACTTTCAGACCCCAAACGTGAAATGTTATTTTGGTACCAGATGAACAAAAGTGCAGACGCAGAGAGGTATTAATACTGGCTTTTGGTAAAGAACACAGCAATTTGTAGCCTTACATTTCCATAAGTCAAAGATAATTCTCCTTACAAGTACCAGAACAAGCATATTGGATACAAGAAATATGAAGAATCCTCCACTTCAATCCATCTTCAGAAAGCAGAATCAATTACGGCCAAGTTACTCTAAGATTAACTAAAGAACTAGGGCCTAGTTCCCTTTATGTGGCTACCTAAATGCAGTAACAGCTACAGCCTTGATACATACCCTTGAAGCTTTAATTATTGATCAGGATGACGCCTTTCATTGCCCTGAAAGCAAAGAGGTTTGGTGCACAAGCAGCCAACACCCTTTGGAACAGTACTGGGTAAAGGTATTATTTAAATAAAGACAAACCAAAGGGCTTGTAGTGCACCAGAGTTCCCCTGAATCCCCCAGTGTGCTAGACTGAAATATTAAGACATCAAAGCATTACATAAACACTCAAAACACTAGATTACATGCAAAACTGGGATCTTGAAGGAATAACCTATCTGCTTTGCACAGTAAAGTTAACGTTATTAGTTAACAAAATTTGAGACTTTTGTACAAGTTAGAGAAAATGGAGAACCACAAGGAAGTAGCACGTACCTCTAGAAACTTTAAATCAAAACTGCAATAACTAGGTTCTGAGCCCCATAAATATTTCCTTCAAAATAGGTTTTGCTTTTTCAAAGTGCAAAAATCCAACTTAATAGTCACCACTTCTCAACATACGTCAGACAAGGCATTTTTGGAAGGAATTTAACCTAAAGCAGTCTGTTTCTCAAGTGCTACTTAAAAGGAATGCAATTATACCACCCTTACCCTTGATGATACTCAAAAGGTTTTGTCTGGATATCAAAATGGGACAACCCAAGTATATTCGTTGGCTGAATATCGAACTGGGAAAAAAGTGTTAAAATCCCACTTCTCTCCCCATTTCAAAATAGCACATGCAGCTGCCACTTCTTGTTTTGAAGATGTTTGTGAGTGCTTAGGGTCACACAACTACCAGATCTTTTAAGGTGCTAGAAGAGATCAACCCTCTTGTAGTAGGTTTCTTGGAGTCTCTTAAATACTCTTTGTCGATGCTCTGTTGTGAAGCAGTATCCTATGGCTTCTTCTGTTTCTTGGATACGTTTCTGGAACCTGCATCCATCTCGTGCAAGCTCTTCCCAGGGTCCTTTACGATCCTCCTCACTGCTTATGTAATACTCAGTAACTTTTTCAAGGAAGGTTACCTGGAAAAGACAAATAATTTACTAAACCATTAACCAAACACTCATGCAAAAGGAGTTTAACATTTATTTGCACATACAATTTTTTTTTTTTTTAAAAACAGAAGTTATTAAATGCCTAAAATAGCAAAAAGCCTGATATGCTACCAGCTCATGCTAGGTCTCTGCACCACCTAGGCCAGAGTATATTTCACCTCTCAGCTTTAAAAGCAACCAGTTGCTGACTTCTCCCTGTACCAAAAGTAGTGCTCAAACTACTACAGAGTTTCTAAACTGTGGCCTAAGCAGCCTCTTTAGGCAGATCACACAATGTTCCCTGTGAAATAACACCACCCCGACATCAGTAGTGGGTCATAACCTTACACAGATACAGTTCAAGCAGGTTACTCAGGAGGACATGCCAGGACACTCACTTAAGGCTAGAAATATGCTACCGGCAAACATCTCCGATTACTGAAGCTTACATAACAAAAAAGAGGAAGAATCATTGTTCTGTAGAGTAAGTAATCATGTGAGTCAGCTTGTACTTCAGCACCAGGAAAAGAAATCGCTCTACACTACATATAAGGAAGCAACACTCATCACTACGTGAATGGAACAAACCCATCTATTTAGAGCTGGTATCAAATTCCAGTGTATTCAAGTTCACGCAACAAAATGAAGTCAAAGTCATGGCAATTTAAAACACGTATGACAACTTTCACTCTTCGCTATTTTAAGAACTATTAAGCTATTTTAAGAAAACAAACTTATAGGCTCAGGATCTAAACTTGACAGTATTTAGACTATTACTATACTAAGGATTTAAGTCTTTCTGTTCTTGAGCGATAAGCAAAAGCCAGACTATTTCAGGCTCCTACTGAATTACGTATTGCTTTTCATTTAGCTATACAAAAGGCACAAAACGGAAGGACAAACTAACTAGCTGTCAGCATCCATCAACTCTCAGACTACAACCGATTCTTGAAGACAAGCCAAACGTCGTTACAGAGGACTCCACTGAATTTGCTGCAGGACAGCTACTTCTGGAAGGTCAGCAAAAAATGTGGGGAGGTACAAAAAACCTACTGCTCCATTCCTATGTTTTATTAACACAGAACCCTAGTTCCACACCCAGTTCATGCTTACACAATGATTGTAGAGCGAGATTGCTTTTTGTGGTAGAGCCATCTTCCAACCCTCACAGAAAACACAAAGATAGCAGTTACGGAAGAGATGACCTACAGGAATATTCAGCAGCTGAGGATACAGAGCCACAAGAGACTGTGTGAAAGCAATCTCCAGAAGTCATCTAATTCTAGTGCAGTGATCCCAAATTACTGCCGAGTTGTCTGTGAAAGGAGGAGCATCAGACTCCACATGTCCTCGCACAGTGTTAATGCACTGCTAAGTTGTAAGTGAAAAAAACACTCCCAGGTTTTATGACTTTACAAACATGAATATTGCTGCTGCTTGACTGCAGGATGCCAGATAGGAAATAGCCTTGAGCAGCATGGACGACTTGAAGATTTCCTGGGAACACCTTGGTCGCTGCTTGGCAATCTCTGCTCTGTTTTGCAGTCGGGCCTAATTAAGCATCTGCTTTCAAGCACACGGAGTTGTTACATCAGCCTATCCCTTTGCGAGTTCCTACCTTACATCCTTTTTACATCAGTCTAAGACACCCTTGGGCACAATTACTGGATTTTGTAACATCATGCTAAATATTGCATCTAGGTCATCATTCTTTCACCATGTCAATGGATTACACAGAGTCAAACAACAAATTAGTCAAAAAATTGCACCTGTTAAGTCCACATCCCTGACACACAACAAGATTTTAGGTCACAGCAGTATGAACTTACACAGCAGGGCCTATCAGTGCTACCTTGCAGCATTTCAGACAGATGCTGTCAGTTACAAAGGACCTCTTGCAGAAACTGTTTGAGTATTTTCCGTTTAGATTAAAATATAATAGTTTATCCTGTGTGAACCATTAAATGCCACTGGCCCTAGCAATAACAGGTATGAAGTTACCGCCAAGTCAGGCTCTCAATTAAAAGAGCAAACAAATCTCTCCACTGTAAGAATGCTAAAGCAAGCATTCTACAACTTTTCTATTTTGATAACTTGTTACACTAGCGCATTACCCTGGGATTTGGTATCACAACTCATACAAATGTTTGAAGTATCAGGCAAGACATTACGCCTGAAAAGCCATCTTGTACATCTGTAGCATCATAAAACTCCTAAGACAAATTTGTTTATTACTATTTACCTGAATCCTAGCACATGTATTAAAAAGGTTTTTAATGCACTAACTCCTCATAAACACATTACACTTCCAGTTTGTGCTCAAAAGCCCAATTCCAGATTACATCCTTTTAGTAAATGACTGCTGAATTGTAATAGTCTCTTAAATGGAAACGGGAGTATTACTATAATGTCTATTGAACTTCAGTGGCTTACTGTAGCCTGTGTTAACCCACACAAGAGTTCTTCTTACTCCAAAAGACGTTTGTCCTAAAAATGTTTACAATGCTGTAAGTCTCGATTACACTACGTGCACACAAAGGTCCTAAAATACTTTATCAACATTATTCATAACAGAAACGGGTACTTTCCAAAGGAAAATCTGTTTCTCTGATGATGAAAACCACATTACAACACAAATACAGAATGAAAACTACGTCTTAAAAGAAAAATTTAACTTCAAGTCTAGAAAAGAAATTTAAAGAAATTATCTGCCTTGAGCCACCGAATTACGAAATCCATCATCACGTGTAAAGGATGAGGCACACTCATTTCAGTCAAATAATTAGACTATAAGCTCACGGGCGCATGATCTACCTACCGCCGTGGCTGGAATCCTGGCACAACTGACCTCACCCACTCACGTCCTGCTTTGCGCAATGTGGGTTTGTTGTTGGTTTGTTTTTTTTTTTCAAAAGCATCCCCAAAACACAAAACCATAAATGAAGTATATACCTTTTTCCGCTTGGTACTTCTACATTTCTCACCAGAAAGAATGCCATGCTGCACAAAGTCAGTGACCCCACAGTTATGTTTTTCCAACTGCACCCGACAGACAGTTAAGTGACTACGCTCCGAAGCGACCAAACTTGGCCTCTCTGCTCCTTTTAAACCAGGCGTCCCTTTTTTCTCTGCTGTTTGAAAGGCTGCCTTGAAATTTAAAGGATTATATGGATCATCTGAAGTACAGAACGAGTTCCAAAGTTTCAAGTTTTCTGCCTCATCCACACTGCTACAGTCCCACTCGTCCTCCTCTTCAGAACCAGGGTGAGGAGAGTCTGAAGACTCCTCTGCCCACGAAGAATCTTCCTCCTCCTCCTCCTCCTCCTCCGACATATCCTTTCCTGGATCGCTGGAAGATGTCTGAATGGTGGCCGTGAAGTTCTGAGGGTCGTACGGATCCAAACTGTAGAAGGAATTCCAAAGATGAAGCCTCTCCCCGTCCTGGCTACCAGCGTCTGAATCCGAGGGGAGCCCTTCGCTATCAAACCCGTCGTCATCATCATCCCAGTCTTCCTCATCATCCACGCTCTCCTCCCCACTGGAAACTCCCCCTATGATATAGTCTATTAATTTATTCGCACAGGCAGGTCTGGCTGAAACTGGAAGGTTTTGCTCTATTTCGGAGTCCTCGTCATCCTCTTCAGTCAAGGATTCCCCCTCAAGTGCCCCCTTCTCAGCTGAACCTCTTAGCCCCTCCTGCTCCAAGGGACCACCTCCAGGTTGTCTCCCCGCGTCGCTCGGCTCTTCGGGCCGCTTCAACTCCCCGGCATCGCACCGCTGCTCCCGCCGCCGCCCTACCTCTTCTTGACAAAC